GTCTTTCAAGTTCATCTGATGTTACAGACTGGGGGTTGCTTCGAGCATCCCGTTCTACTTCAGCCTGTCTTTCAAGTTCATCTGATGTTACAGACTGGGGGTTGCTTCGAGCATCCCGTTCTACTTCAGCCTGTCTTTCAAGTTCATCTGATGTTACAGACTGGGGGTTGCTACGAGCATCTCGTTCCTCTTCAGCCCGTCTTTCAAGTTCAATCTTGATACTCTGAAACAATCAATACACGACTAAATATTTGCCATCATACTTATATAAATGACCGAATGTAGTTCTTACCAACAAACAAAATGACGGGCTTGCTAAATAGCACTTACAGTAACCATGTCTGGGAACAGGTCACAGAACACATTATCTCGGAGGTTGAACTCCAAGCTCTGACCAGCCAGCTGTCTTTTCTCATATTCGGATGACTCGATACTTCCCAGTGTTGGAGTTCTCTCAATCTGGCAACAGAAAACACTGCTGCTAACGGAACTGTTCTGGCATAGCAAATAGTTCAGACCAAATCAAACTATCTTTTTTGACAGAGGCATTAACTTTATACCAAACGCAATGGTTATACTTCTATGAATTGGCCACCAGAGCCTCTTTTGTGGAAGAAGGTGGGAAAATATGGTAGGAGAGAGAGTATTGCATCTGGGACCCTATGAATGAGTCCCATGCTTTGCACTGAGGAAATGTCCCCATCCAATTATGTATTTATATCAGGATGTTACCATAATGCTGAGGAATCCTGTGAGGATGGTGGGCACACTCAAGACAGGGGTCCAGGCGTCAGATAAACAGAGAGGCGTGTCGGTCTTGAACCTGTGAATATGAGAGCACCTGATGAAATGACTCTGTAATAACATTGCAGTTCATAACATTTTTAGTAAAGTGTGGGCTATGGCACAGTAATGGTAAGATTCATAAATGTAAAATTAAACTTTCAATTTAGACCACAAGTTCCTTTGTAATTTTTTTGACGTATATACGTCTATAAGGAAGGATCATTCGGCAAAAATGCGGAACGAAAAATGGGAACGAAAAAGTGTTACAATTGTTACCTAAGAAATGTCATCTGTTTACTCGGTTTTATTGTTACCTAGGAACCGTCATCTGTTTACTTAGCATTGTTGTTACCTATAAAACATTACATTACATTACATTACCTTACATTACCTTACCTTACCTTACCTTACTATACATTACATTACATACATTACATTTCTTTACATTACATTCAGCTACCACAGACCCATCTTAAGCGTAACTAAGTCAAGTTAAATAATCAATGTCTTAATCAAACTTATCTCAATTGTAAAGCATGTATAAAGGAAATATTTAGAATAAAGCCAATATATAAACTTCCTTTCCGTATAGACGTATTTACGTCAAATTCTCCGGAACCGTGGTTCCACTGACAACTTTTTTAAATGACATGATTCATAGCTGAGAAGCATGGCACGTTTGGGAAAATGCAGCAAACAGAAAAAGTACAAGTACCAACCTTCCATTTGGAGTGATCATGTATATGCTAGGAGATTCGAATGGATAATTAATTGGAAACACTAGTTTCCCATGATACAGTCCTCTAGCGTATGGAGTGTTCTCTGGTCCTGTGAAAACATAATGCCTGAAACAACAAAAACACCAAAGTTACCATTTCTTAAAATATTCTAAAAATATGCCACATTTAGACACAAAGTAGGGTCATACGTACCATTTTAGAATGTTACCTGGTATCGGTTCTGCTACAACATAGGGAACTGGACCATTCTTCAACAGCAAATACTCATGTTGTAGGCGATCTGTCGCTCTGTTAGTCTTAGGTGTGGTCATTCTCGTTTCGTTAACCTTTTATTAATGTTAGAGAAATGTAAATGTATAAATGATGATAAAACAATCCATTCTCCGTCTATAAATACTTCATCTACCCAAATAGGTTGTAACAGGCCTCTCGACATAACTGTCACCTTGTGACACAAATGTGGTGGAAGACGGTCACGCGAGAGTACAAATTTATGCCTGTGACTACCGAAGGAGCAAATACTTCACTACTAATGGACTCACCAATTAATAATGATGCATTGACAAATTAATAATTGCAATAAGTACAGAAAGTAGATACATCACAGAATATGCCAGTGTCTACACAATAACATCCATGGGCTACCATAAATATCTACTCCCAACTTCAAGGTTACGCGATTATAAAGAAAATGTTCATTCAATTGTTATGAACTAGTAACTGAAATTAATGGGGAACATACCACGACATAAGCTGACAAGGACACACCAGGTCAGTAGGAGAAAAATTGACAGTGGAACCACGGTTCCGGAGAATCTGACGTAAATGTAATGAAATGTATTGTAACAATTCTTATATAAGATAAGTACCTGTGATATTATAAAACGTTTTTACCAGCACAAAATTATCTTGTCTACGACGCACGTCTTCTAGAAGCGATTCACAGCAGAGCTCTTTCCACAATAATGAAAGCATATTGTTGACGGCAGTAATGTAACACAACAATGCCGAGTAAACAGATGACGTAACAATTAGTTTCTTAGGTAACATAACAAAGCACGCATGAGATCATATAAAAGCTGATCATTGTTGTCGATCCATATTTACACATTGTTGATATGGATCTTTCACATTTTCGTTACACATCTTGGTTACGCCTTTATGCCGAATGACCCTTCCGTATAGACGTATCTACGTCAAAAATCTGAATGTGGTAATGGACAAATTATACCTTGCCTACTGTACGAGGTTAGATCGGAAAGTTTCCAGACTGCGCTTATAAAAACCCGTACACTTATCTCAGGTATTAAATTCATCCACCACCCTCGAAGTAGTTCCCCTGGGAGTGAACACAACGATCCCAGCGCCGTTGCCAAGCCTGGAAGCAACCCTGGAAATCTTTCTTTGTCAGCCTGTTAAGCACCATCTGCGATTCTGCCTGAATCTCTTCTATCGTCTCAAATCTCCTTCCCTTTAGCTGAATTCTCATCTTTGGGAAGAGGAAGAAGTCACACGGCGAATGAGGAGGGTGCGGGAGGACGGCCATGGTGTTTGAGGACAAAAACTGCCGAACTTTGAGGGCGGTGTGCGCTGGCGCGTTGTCATGATACGTCGCATGTGGAGTTCTTCCTTTAGAATCAGCTGACAGGTCCCATAGCCTATCCCAACAATGTCGCACAAGTCGTTGATGGTACGACGTCGATCTTCGTGAAGGGCCTGCCGAATCTTCGAAACATTTTCGGGCGTTGTGCTCGAAGATGGTCGTCCAGAACGCTCGTCATCATCATCGACAGAGGTTCGGCCATTTTTAAAACGTGAATGCCACACAAAAGTTTGTGCACGACCCATTGCGCACTCCCCAAATGCTTGCTTTAGCATTTCATAGATTTCCGTAGCCGTTTTGGTGAGTCTTTGGCAAAATTTGATGCACACGCCATTCCGAAAGCGCAGGAGGGTCGGTGTAAAAGCTGACCACTGTCGGTCCATATTTACACATTCTTGGTATGGATCTAACACATTTTCCTAAAGCTGTTTTTTCCGAATGACCCTTCCGTATAGACGTATTTACGTCAAAAATCTAAATGTGGTGATGGACAAATTATACCTTGCCTACTGTATAGTCCACGACTGTAATCTTGAGACTTGCAATGTCTTGGTGTTTATTCTAGACGTCTTTTCATCTTGCACCATCGAGAGGTGTACACCTTCTAGTATTCGGTTTCTTGATGAGTTGGAAGTAGTAGGGGTGGGATAAAATACAGTAAAAATAGCAACTATCTGCAGATAAAGAATTCCAGATTTAATATTAT